AAATTATCATTGCATATGGTACTTTGGGTATAACATATGCCAGTAAGTTTGAGTCTTAATTCAAACTACATTAAAATGAGTTAGCTTGAAAGTGGCTGATAGTTTAGTTGATTTAATTATAGCATTTTCTCTTACAGCTCATCTGAGGTCTTGAATTCAAATTTCCATCCCTCAATATTGTTTATATAAAAACTATAAGTTGGTGGTTCACTGGTAAATAACGGATTACGAGGCTTCCTTAAAACTAAAAATTGGAGGTCTCGGGTCTTGGATTTGAAATCCGCTGCTGGTGTGGAAGCTGGACTTGTGGCCAAGGGGAGGCTGAAATGCCTATGTGAGTCTTCTGGGCCCTTGGAAGGGGTCGATAACGTGGCTTGCCACCAGTTGTCCCCCTTTTAGAAGAAAAAAAATTATATAAAAGTTGAACAGTTTCAATTATGAAATTTGGAAAGTAAAAATGCGTTAATTCCAAGTTTGTGGATAAGGTGGCACACCCGTGAAACAGAGAAATTTTTTTTCAGTGTGCTAGGAACACCTCCAGTACACCAAGTGTCATAATACAAGTGGTTAGAAGTTTTTTTATTTTATATATATATTTATTTTTTTTTATTTTTCCAAGTATCCAACAACTTGTATTATGACACTTGGTGTACTAGGCGTGTTCCCAGCACGCTAAAAATATTTCTCCATGAGATGGGATGCAAGTAAGAGAAATTTTTTAACGAGAAATTTCAACCACTTGTATTATGATACTCGGTGTATCGGGTTGTGTTCCTGACACACTGAAAATTCTTTCCTCATTAACATCATCTACCCATAAGCAATCAACTATTAAATTGTACAAGAATTAGGGTTGAAAAATAGCCCAACTACTTTGGTGAAGATAATTAGGACGTTTTTATCCACCACCATATTAAAATTGCCTCCCAACAAACAAAATGCTAATGCCTAAAATTTATATCAGATTTATGAAACAAGTGGGAAGAAATTAATGTATTTTATATCAGCAATAAATTAAGACATTAATGTAATTTATGAAAGAGAATTAATTTGCATGCTGCAATCATCCTTCATCGCAAATCTTTAGCATCATGTGTATAACAACTTTTAGTAGCATCATGGCACTCCCTGAGGAAGTTGGGTGGGTTTGGTTTCGCTATTGTTGATCACGAAAGTTGGTTTGATAAGTGTAGATATCAGCAGCTACAATGTACATAAAATGTAAACATCTTAATGATACCAATACAGTAGGACGTAAACTCATTCAGTGACAAATTTAGCTAGGATTTATGTATTTTTTAACATCTTTTCTTATCCTCGCCTACAAAAGCTTTGACGACACTAGTACAAAAACATGTTTGCGTGACGAAAACTTGCGCGACGCATAAAATTACGTCGCGCAAAACGGCTTTGCGCGACGTATGTACATCTACGTCGCGCAAAACATCTTTGCGCGACGTTAGTTTGCGCGACGAAGGACTACGTCGCTCAAAACGGCTTTGCGCGACGTAGTCCTTCGTCGCGCAAACTTTTGGCGCGAAACCCTAAGAATATACCGCTTTTTCCCACCTTTGCGCGACTCATGGCCACCTACGTCGCGCAAAGTTGTTTTGCGCGACGTAGTCCTTCGTTGCGCAAACTTTTGGCGCCAAACCCTAAGAATTTACCGCTTTTTCCCACCTTTGCGCGACGCATTCCCACCTACGTCGCGCAAAGTTGTTTTGCGCGACGTAGGTGGGCATGCGTCGCGCAAAGTCACCAACTTTTTTTTCTTTTCATTTGATCTGTTTGGGAGGCAGAAACTACATACCCAGTTGCAGCAGCTACCTCCATCGCCTATCTCTCTCTTCAATGTTCAGTGCAATTTTTGGAAATGTCACTTACAATCTCTACAGTCACAGCTTTCTTCATTTCGGCCAGGTATTTATTTAGTTCTATTAACTCTGTTTAAAGTTGCCAGCCAAATGGAAGCTTGAAACTTTAATTTTTTCAATACAAACTCTTTTTCCTTCTAATTTTTTGCCATATGAATATGCACTTTTTTCAGAAACAGATTCTCATCCACTCGAATCTCGATTTCCTAGCATTAGGTACATGCTAAACCTTTCACAATCATCTGTTTCAGTCATTATAATTTTTTTCCTTCTAATTTTTTGTTGATACAACAATGATTGATTATGCATACTTGACTACATCTTTATGAATGGGTTTGACAACCACACTTAACTTTTTCTACTTAAAGCATTGAATTTTTGCTTTTTGTTTTTTTGTTGTTGCCTTGTGGTTATCAAAATTTGTTGTATGTCTGTGTATAAATGTATGTACAAATTTAGCAGCCCTACTGCATTTGTTGTGTTTTTTAGGCATGAGACTACACAAACAAAGAAAAGATAACATAGTTGTAAAGCTTAGGCTCCAATCAGGTAAAGTGTGAGATTTCAAACATGGAGATTTAGTCCATGTTTAAAAACTGCCAAATACATTGGCAACTGTTAAGAGCACGAACTACAAATCTGTAAAGTAAAAAAGCTGGCACATAAGTTCAAACGATCAACTGTCAACCTATGATTGTTGCTGTTTTTTAGCTGGACTTTCACATTCTAACATGGTATCAAAAGAGATTATAAGCGTGTGTGGTCTTAAACCACCTAACACCATGTATAAACCAAATAATTGACATCTAAAGATGGAGACATGCAACATGAAACCTGCAATTAGATAATGAGACTTCTTTTTGGGAAATTTAACCCCCGTGATCTCAGGTTTACATAAAATAGGACTTATGGAATAGAATTCATAGTTGTACATCTATGGCATCATTACACTATGAAATAGGACTTTAAATTCGCTGCTCTAACTTTGATGGTCTTCCAGATTAGTGTTATTATTACGTTTTGGTCATCTTTTCACTATCATCTCTCTTAGTCATGACTTAGGTACTACATAATAGGTTTTTGTGCATCTATTTATTTGTAATTGTCCAAATAGCAATGTAATTATTGAATAGGTTTTTGTGTATCTTTGCTGCTCCGTATGAATTAGCTTGAGGTTGCTTGACAGTGACGGTGAATTTACCATGAGGTTCTGTGGTACCTGTCTGTTTCCCAAAGATCTTATTAACACGACCGTCTCTTCCTTAGTCAATGTCAACAACAACATCGTCTGTTGCTCTACCCAATAGAACCTGCAGATATAGATAGCTATACATTCACATAATCAATCCATGTCTGACATAGACTTATTGGACCATCAGTTTTCAATTCTTCTTTTCGACTAAATCTGCACATCATAGCAAAACCTAGATGGATCCTTAATATTCCTTATGACAGTCATTAAGTTATACACATGACTCTTGCTCCATAATTACATCACTTCCAAATGCAACTATGGGGTGAAAACCTACCAACCCCAGGTAGCAAGAAAAGAGAAAAGAAGGGTCCATATGGCAATCGAAATACCTCGGGCTTCTTAATGTAATGCTTAGAATCACACTGCTCCAGCCTTATCATTCTCCTCTTAGCGTCCTCATTCTGATATTTTGAGCCTGCACATAGAGAACAACATAAAATTACAATTTATAAGGCATATTGATGCAGTGAACCTACATCATTACTTTATGGTTTGAAGTTTAGAAGTAATTTGGTTTTGCAGAATGTTGCGTATGATTCATTGAAAGAGGGTATTGTTTCAGGAGACTTCGACTCAGGTAAAGATACAAGCTTTGCTTTCTTCACTGATTATATGAATGCCTTGAACCTAGGAAACGATTTGATTAGGACTTTGTAATTGGTTCTGTTTGTTCTTATGGTATTAGTTTGTTTCTTTTCACTTGTTACTGCCTTTTGTAATCAACTTTTTCACTGTCATTATTTACTCTGATTGGTGATGACAGAGGCATGGCTATTGTATCTCATATAAGAGGAGAACTAATAAAGGAGAACTAAGGAGAACTAAGGAGTAAATTAAGAGATAGATGCGTAAAGTGAAATAAATGGTGCATAAATCACTTTATATTAAAATGAAGTCTAAGAGAAATTTAACTACATTTGAGATGTCACAGTGTACATAAATCACTTTATTTTCTTCGCTAAATTAATTTTTATTAATTTTATCTATTTTATTTAGTTTTAGTAATTATTGTGATTTAGTTTATTTGTATGCACATATTTTTGTACATCACCCACAAAATTGTTTTGTGTTGTACGAAGTTAATACTACTTAACTTCGTACCCTTTTCTCAGGAAAAGCTTAGTTTCCCGTTTGAGAATTAGTTGGATTTCGTGCATGGATGCGAAAGCATGACTGCGGTCCAATTAATTCTTGAATTGTCCCATTTTTTGGACAGTTTGGGAATGCCCTAGTTATGTGTTGTAGTTTGCGGTCCACGGATTAGGTTTCGATAGTGGAAATTTTGGTAACATTTCCTAATGTTCTTTGAGTACACGGTGGATATTATGTATCTACGACATGCACTTGAAGAACTGTAAGGAGATGCTGCCGAAATTAGCCCACGTCGAAATTTAATCCATTGGAATCGTAAATTACGGCACATAACTGTGTATTCTTGAATGGGATAGGGCCCTGACCGGAGGAATAAGGTGACAAGACATAGTTTTCATGTCCTAATCTGTCTCATAATTTGCTTCAATTGTACTTAATTCCAATTTTTGAATAAAATGAATGAATGCCAGCAACGGTGTAGATTTTCAATGGCATCCAATTTCATATAGTTTAATTAGTTATATCTCCATTTACCTATATACCTATTCATTCCAATTTTATATGATCGCTGGATGCAAAACTTTTCTAGATATTATTAGTTGCAGCAGTTGCATCTCTTAAAGATCTATACAACTTTTTCTCACTGGTTCACGGTGGATTTTGCAGTTACTTCTCGAGCGTGGGGAAGCACGAAGGGTTATTCCTTGGTAACACATTTATAAGGATTCCGTTGTAGACATTGTTGTAATTCTTGTACTTTTATTCGGATTGCAGACAAAATGGACAAACAATGGATACATAATCATAATAGATGTGCTGTTGAGTACTTGGATGGAATACATGCGTTCATTGAATTCGCAACTAGACACAACCTAGGTTCAACTCATATCCGATGTCCATGTAGGAGGTGTAACAACTCAACGTGGGAGACATTCGAGAATGTTCGATTTCATTTAGTAAGAAATGGGATGTTGGAGACCTATACTACTTGGTATCATCATGGAGAACGATTAGACCAAGCTTCGTCTTCATACGTGACACGAGTGGAAACTGTTGAATGTAATGTGGATCCTAATGAACAAGTTATGAATATTCTAAATGACGTTTATCCATACGCCTCGAGCAACACCAATCAGGAAGGGGGAGAAGGGGGAGATGACGGCCGTCCAACCATGGACAGTGAGGCATTCAAAAACTACGAAAAACTATTGAAAAATGCCAAGCAAAAATTATATCCGGGTTGCGAGAACTTTTCAGTGCTCACAGCAATTGTTGAGTTGATGCATGGCAAGATCAAGTTTCGTTTATCAAACAAGTGTTTTGATTACTTTTTGGGAGTTATCAAGAGGATGCTTCCAAAGGAGAATTGTTTACCTGAATATCATAAAAGTGCCCAAAAAGTGTTGAAGGGTCTCGGATTGGGGTATGAAAAAATTCACGCATGTGTAAATAATTGTATATTGTTCTATAAGGAGAACAAAGCGTTGGATAAATGCCCTGTCTGCAATGAGCTGAGGTTTAAAATGACATCACAGAATAGAAACACCAAGATTCCACAAAAAGTAATGCGCTATCTTCCATTGAAGCCTAGATTGCAGCGATTGTACATGTCGATGCATACCGCAACCGACATGAGATGGCATAAAGAAGGACGGGTAAATGACGATGTTATGAGGCATCCTGCAGATGGAGAGGCATGGAAAGAATTCGATCGGATGTACCCTGATTTTGCAGCTGACCCGCGCAACGTCAAATTGGGACTTGCCACCGATGGATTTAATTCGTTCGGGGTGTTAAACCTAAAGCACAGCACTTGGCCGGTCGTCGTGTTTCCTTATAATTTGCCACCTTGGAAGTGCATGAAAAAAGAATACATGATGTTGACTCTATTAATTAACGAAGATCCAGGAAAGTCCATTGATGTTTATTTGCGGCTGTTGGTTGATGAGCTAAAATATTTATGGGAAAACGGTGTTCGTACATACGATAAATATACTGGGTAGATGTTCATCATGCGAGCGGCAGTGATGTGGACAATAAACGATTTTCCTGCATATGCAATGGTTTCTGGGTGGATGACTAAGGGTTATTTGGCATGTCCAATATGCAAGGAGAATGTAACATCATCTTGGCATGCAAGAAAAGTTTGTTATCTTGGTCATCGTAGATGGCTCCCTTGGGACAACGAGTGGCGTCAGAACGATAAAGCCTTCGACGGCACAAAAGAGACTCGGCTAAGACCAAGAGAATGGTTTGGAGATGAGATTTTGGATCAGTTAAACCGTTTGGAATTTGGTCATTTCGGCAAAGGGGTCAGTAACCCCAGACCAACTACACATCTGAACTGGACGCACAAGAGTATGTTATTTGAGCTTCCGTATTGGTCAAAGTTAAAATTGAGATACAACCTCGATGTTATGCATATTGAGAAAAATGTGTTTGACACTTTGGTCGGGACAATTCTAGACATTGAAAGAAAAACAAAAGACACGATCGAAGCTCGCCTCGATTTGTAACGAATGGGCGTTAGGTCATCTTTGTGGATGAAGAATGTCGGTGGTACGTTGAAGAAAGGCCATCCTTTTTTTTACAGTTAAGCCGAATGGGAAGAAAGAGTTTTTCAACTTTATTTCTTCTGTAAAGTTTCCAGATGGGTATGCTTCCAATATCTCGCGTTGTGTGAACATGAATGGGTGTAAATTTCAAAACATGAAGAGTCATGACTGTCATGTGATACTCCAACGCCTTCTTCCAGTTGGTATTCGACACTTATTGCCTCTTGATGTGGTGAAACCAATCGTGTTGTTGTCGAGATTTTTTTCGCAGTTGACTGCAAGGTGTTTGCGGAAGTCAGATGTTAAACAATTGCAGGACGACATTGTGAACGTCTTATGCAAGTTCGAACAGATATTTCCCCCAGCTTTTTTTACAAGTATGATTCACGTGATGATTCACTTGCCAGATGAGGCTTGTCGGACCAGTGAACTGTCGATAGATGTATCCAATAGAAAAGTACTTAATTAAGCGTCTATATATATATATATATAACATATTCATGATCAACGAACGCTTTGAATAATTTGTAGCATACCTTTTATTTGTGCAGATATCTTGGTGAGTTGAAAAAGTTTGTTCGAAACAAGGCAAAGCCCGAAGGATCACTTGTGGAGGCATGGGTCGCATATAAGTCACTTACTTTTTGTGTAATGTATCTTGAAGATGTTGAGACAGCTTTCAATCGTTCTCAACGTAATAATGACGGTGGTGTCAGAAAAGAGAAACTGTCTGTTTTTGCCCAAATTGTGCGACCATTCGGCGATCCTGTAAAAGACGAATCGTTTACCAAAAAGGACATGGAGGTAGCGCATTGGTTCATACTCAACAATTGTGACGAGGCTTTGCCATACCTTGAAGAGCATGAACAATTGATGAAGCGGGAACATCCTTCACATTTATATGCCAAGAAGCACCGTGACTTGTTTCCTTCGTGGTTTCACGCACATGTAAGTTGTATGTGGTTTGAATTGAGCATATTTTCCAACTTGTTCATGCCCGTCTTTAAATTTGGTTATACTAACAAGTTAACTTTTTGTATATGTTATATTAGATGAACAAATTGAAGGAATTGAATTCACCCTCTTACGATGGAGAATTATATAACTTGGCGAGAGGACCGCTTCACGTTGAATTGTTCTCAGGTTGTCATGTCAACGGGATCAAGTTCTTGGGGGCAACACGTGATGACAAGTTGTCTACTCAAAATAGTGGTGTTCATGTCCCGGGTGCGGGTGACAGTGAAGACATTGATTTTTATGGCATACTAACTAGTGTAGTACAATTGCTTTACAAAGACAGGTGTCCAGTGATACTGTTTAAGTGTCTTTGGTTTGATACAAACCCACATAACCGAATGAGTGTTAAGCGAGACCATGGTTTACTATCAGTAAACACTATGAGACATTGGTACGATGAAGACCCATACATTTTGGCAACAATGGCGAAACAAATATTCTATCTAGACGACCCTAAAGCTAGCAATGGTTGGAAAGTTGTTCAAAAGATTGATCGAAGAGGGCTATATGATATTCCAAAACAAGATCATGATGACAATTACGATAAAGTCGTTGACCAACAGTTATCATCTTCGATAGAAATTGGTGAAGAAACACTCCGGGATACTAATATTGTCCAAGAACCATTTGACGTAGTTGGATTTCCTGAATTCGAAATATCAATTGACCTTGGTGATCTACCTCAATACAATGCACCAGAAGAGGCAAACGAAGATGAAGACGAATGGGAATTCGGAAATGATAGTAGTGAGGATAGCGAGAGTTATTATTGTAGTTCGGATGATGATTAATATAAACTTGTAAAGAAAAATCGTGCTTTTTCGTTTATAACCGTAAAAAAGTTTTGTCCCGTTACATAATCTCTGAATGTTTGTTTTTTGCAATTTTTGGCGTTTGCGATCTCGAAGCATATACAAATAAGTTTGACGGTTGGATAGTTGAAATTAGTTTCGTACAATGCGTTTCCCATCAAGTTCAATGGTATATATATTTACTAAGTTGATTTTAATTTATTTATTTTGTACTTATAACACTTAAGAAGGTTTTTTTTTGTCCCGTTACTTGATCTTTGAAGGTTTTTTTTTTGCGATTTTTGGCGTATGCGATCTCGACGCATATACGAACAAGTTTGACGGTTGGATCGTTGAAACTAGTTTCGTACAATGTGTATCTCAATAAAACGTTAGATTCCCTAACACTTCGATTTTATTTATACTTTCATCAAGTATAACATAAGATTTTGTGGTATCCACTTGTGTAAATATTTTAAATTGACAATCGAATTAGTTCCTTGTATTCATATAGGATCCAGGAGTGTAGCTGTAAAAAATCATCAAAATCGGAGTTAAAATAACCGTTAAATTGTGATTTTTTCGTTTATAACCGTCGAAAAGTTTTGTCCCGTTACATGATCTCTGAAGGTTTGTTTTTTGCGATTTTTCGCGTATGCGATCTCGATGCATATACAAACAAGTTTGACGGTTGGATCGTTGAAACTAGTTTCGTACAATGCGTATCTCAATAAAACGTTAGATTCCCTAACACTTCGATTTTATTTATACTTTCATCAAGTATAACATAAGATTTTGTGATATCCACTTGTGTAAATATTTTAAATTGACAATCGAATTAGTTCCTTGTATTCATATAGGATCCAGGAGTGTAGCTGTAAAAAATCATCAAAATCGGAGTTAAAATAACCGTTAAATTGTGATTTTTTTGTTTATAACCGTCGAAACGTTTTGTCCCGTTACATGATCTCTGAAGGTTTTTTTTTTGCGATTTTTTGCGTATGCGATCTCCATGCATATACAAACAAGTTTGACGGTTGGATCGTTGAAACTAGTTTCGTACAATGCGTATCTCAACAAAACGTTAGATTCCCTAACACTTCGATTTTATTTATACTTTCATCAAGTATAACATAAGATTTTGTGGTATCCACTTGTGTAAATATTTTAAATTGACAATCGAATTAGTTCCTTGTATTCATATAGGATCCAGGAGTGTAGCTGTAAAAAATCATCAAAATCGGAGTTAAAATAACCGTTAAATTATGATTTTTTCGTTTATAACCGTCGAAACGTTTTGTCCCGTTACATGATCTTTGAAGGTTTGTTTTTTGCGATTTTTTGCGTATGCGATCTCGATGCATATACAAACAAGGTTGACGGTTGGATCGTTAAAACTAGTTTTCGTAGAATGTGTATCTCATTAAAACATTAGATTCCCTAACACTTGGATTTTACTTATACTTTCATCAAGTATAACATAAGATTTTGTGATATCCACTTGTGTAAAATATTTTAAATTGACGATCGAATCAATTCCTTGTATTCATGTAGGATCAAGGGGTGTAACTGTAAAAAATCATCAAAATCGGAGTTTAAACTACCGTTAAATCGTGATTTTTCGTTTATAACCGTCGAAAAGTTTTGTCCCATTACTTGATCTCTAAACCTTTTTTTTTCTCGATTTTTTGTATATGTGATCTCGAAGCATATACAAACAAGGTTGACGGTTGGATCGTTGAAATTAGTTTCGTACAATGCGTATCGCATCAAGTTAAATGGTATATATATTTATTAAGTAAATTTAAATTTATTATTTTTTACGTATAACACTTAAGAAATTGAATGATATGTATATTTATTAAGTAGCTACCAATTTATTAGTCAGGTTTTTATTTGAAAAATATATTATTGTGAGTTTTATGTAAAAAAAAATTAAATTTAAAATGAGTAAAGCCACATTTTCAGTAATTTTTATAATTATTTTTTTAAATTAAAAATACCTTGCGCGACGTGAATTGTATACCTTCATCGCGCAAGTTTTGATAATTTTGGCGCAAGTATTAAAAATAAGCGCCAGTTTTAATAATTTTGGACTAAATATTCCCACCCCTTCGCTCCACGCCCTCCTCTTCCCAGACCCCTTCTCTCTCTCTCTCTCTCTCTCTCTCTCACTCGGTCTCTCTCTTCCGTAGCCTTCCTCCTCTTCCCAGACCCCTTTTCTCACGCCATTCTCAAATCACCCGCCGATTCTCTCTCACGCCATTCTCAGTCTCGCCAGCCGCAAATCCTTACAGCTCCATGCTCCACCTCCCGATTCGTCGAGATGAGAGCCCCAACACCGTCGCCTGCACCACCGTCTCAGAAAAGTGAGCCAAAATCTCGCGAGAATCAGGCTGCACACGAGTGGATCCAAAGGCCAAACCTCCGATCTTGAAGTCGACACACCCAGAGGTAAAAATTTCTCATCCTCTCTCTTCGATCTCATATATGTTGTTAGATTAAAAGGGAAAATATGAGAACTAACTCAAGCAAATGTTTTGGATGTAAGCTAAAAGATCAATTTAACTTTTGTTCCCTGTCAATTTAGTGCTTTTTCTTTTCTTCCCTATCAAAACCCAATTTGATCACACCCAGCAAACCCCTCTTACCCACCTCCAAACCCAGCTAAGCCCTGCAGCTCAGCACAACTTCTTGATAACTTCATACATTAAGAACAACTGCCCGGAAATTGCACTCGAAATATATGCCCAAATGCGAAGAATGGACACCCAAGTCGACAGTTTCACCATTCCATCAGTCCTCAAAGCTTGCAGGCAATCGTCTTTCGCGGTTTTGGGAAAGGAGACGCACGGCTTCGTGCTGAAGAGCGGGTTGGATGGTGATGTTTTCGTGTGCAATGCGTTGATCCAAATGTATAGCGAAAGTGGGAATGTGGTGCTAGCTCGCTTGCTATTTGATAAAATGACTGACAGAGATGTTGTTTCTTGGAGTACAATGATTAGGAGCTGTGTTAGGAACAGATTGTTTGGTGAGGCATTGGAACTTATAAGGGAAATGCATCGTGTTCGAGTGAGGCCTAGTGAGATTGCCATGATTAGCATGGTTAATCTCTTTGCGGGGGTTGCTGATATCGAAATGGGGAAAGCGATGCATGTTCATGTTGTGAGGAATGGCAAGCATGAGAAATTGGGAGTTCCTGTTACTTCTGCTTTGATCGACATGTATGTCAAGTGTGGAAATTTAACTTATGCAAGGAGGCTCTTCGACGGGTTAGGACAGAAAAATATTGTTTCGTGGACTGCAATGATCGCGGGGTACATTCATTGCAGAGATTTACACGAGGTAGCAAAACTTTTCAACAGAATGCTGGCGGAAGGATTATGCATCTTTGAACCTTCAGTAATAATATATCTCAAAAGGGAAAAGCATAACTCAATTTATTAGTCAGGTTTTTGTTCCGCAGTTTGTTTATTTGAACTGAGGTATTGTATTGGTATTAAGCTGTTAAAGTTTATTTATTTGAACTGAGGTATTCTATTTTGTTCTTTGAACCTCCATTATTTACTGAAGGATTATGCATCTTTTTTTGCTTTCTTGTTTAGTACATACACTTGCTCATAAGTTGTTTTTTCTCTGTTATGAATTTATCTCCTCCATGCATCTCTTCTCTCATTGCATTTGCATGGGTGGTGACCTTTAAGTACCTTTTCGTATGCATTTAGTAATAAAAAGGAATTGGGTTTTTTTAGTTTATGGGATTGTGTAGGTACATTCTTGGACTTTGGAATTGGTTTTAGTGAATTGGGTTTTATTTGGTTTTGTGCAGGGAGAGCTTGTGCGTGCTTTAGGAGGAGCTGTGGCATCCACATCTCTTCTTGGAGTTCCTCTTGGACATAACTCCTCGTTTCTTCAAGGGCCGACCTTTGCACCTCCAAGGATTAGAGAGGCTATCTGGTGTGGGAGCACCAACTCAACAACTGAAGAAGGTATCTAATTATCTCAATTAGTAGCAAACTTTTGCTTCTCAAAACATTCAGTTTCGAGAAGATTGGCTGCCCTGCTCGTGTTCTAATTAGAATAACTTTTATGTTATAGTTATATATAGATGTTGAATGTTTTGCTCTTTTTTATCAGTTTCGAGAAGATTGGCTGCCCTGCTCGTGTTCTAATTAGAATAACCCACATATCCCATGTAAAGTTTATTCTAAACCTTTCATGAGGTGGAACCAATCAGTGAAAAAATCTATCATTTTTGCTCACAAAATACACATACTGCCACAGTTTAACTAATTTGATCCTTCTATAGTGATTCTCTTTTAGGGTTTGTTCAGATGCAAGAAAGGATAAGTTTAAATATTCTTGTATTGATATTATTGCTCTAATTACTTATATTACTTTGGTTGCTATTTTATTAGTTTCAAATGCAAGAAAGGATTAGTTTCTAATGTTATATTTTTATGGTTCGTAAAGTGTATAGATGTCGCAGTTGATCACTCGTCGTCGGAGTGTGTCCAATGCAGCTCCTGCATTATCAGCATCTAGTGCTCCAGGCGTGAGTGCTCCATTGATTGAGGAGCCTACACCCCTTACAGAGGCTACTCCTACGACATCCCAGGTGCCCGTATCATCAACGTCATCAGTGTCAGTTGAGCCCCTCAGTGCACGGCGGCTTCACTGGCGCCACCGCGAGCCGGAGCCTTCTGATCACACTTCCTCGTCCTCCAGAGTCGAGGATGGGGCCTCCCAACCAGGTAGTTTTTTTTCTAATTCTCACTACGTTGCATTTTTTTTTCATTTCAAAACTATTACTTTTATGATTGTGAAAATGTGTTGCGGGTTGTGAATTATTGTTTTAAGGTACTTTTATGATTAGGGGAGGTTTTGCCGAATTTTCTGTACAAATTTAAGCTTAGGGTTTTTACCATTTAAGTTTTTTTGGGCAGCTAAAAAAAACACCAGGGGGCCCAATCGAATGTTGAAGGAGCTACAGCTTGTACATATGTCTGCCTCCTTGATCAAGATTGTGTATGATGAGCGACATCGTGGAGCGGTTACCTCACAGCAGCATAACAGCGTCGTTAATTGCTGTGGTTTTATTATTAGGAATTTTTGTCCTATGCGGTAGGAGAGTTGGGCAAAAATTCCCGAGGAGACGAGGACCCTAGTGCGAGACAATTTGGAGGTTAGTATATTAATTTTTAGCAAAGTCAACATCTTTCTCTGCTTAAACTAGTGCAGGGCCATCATCTTGATTAGTAAAGTCAAGATCTTTCTCTCAATTTCTGTTTGGTTGCTAAGAAAATGTAGGGGGAAAGAGAAATCATGTGCATTTCATTGTTTTGCACCTGATAGCCGAGTGTTGTTGTGGTGAATAATTTGGTCATGTATTTTGCACACTCTTCTTCTGTTCATAATTGGGAGCAGGTGTGGTCCTTTAGTTTTGGTTAATTTCAGTGATTTGCGGCACTGTTCTTTGTTGTCTGAATGCTTCCTGGGAAGGAAATTGAAAAATAATTCCGTGAACCATTGTTAAAATAATGATTATGTTGGTTAGGTGGAAGGATTACTATCTTATTTGATGCATATTTATGGGTTTTAGTTTTGGTCTACGTCCTTGCTTAATAATTTATGATAGTGTTTAGGTGAGTATGCATGCCGTCGCTAGTACATTGCTTTGCTTGTGTTGTGCATCAGTTAACCTGATCCATAGTATCCACTGGTTGAGCAGCATCGTGATACCTAAACATTATGCCTATACATGCTGTTTTGTTTTAATCAGTAAGTGCTTATTGGGACTGGCTATACTAATCAAATAATCGATCTTTTACCGAGCGAGTCCTATGTATGGTTCTTGACTTTGCCTCAATTTGATAGTGAATTGTTTTTAGTTGTTGTCCTGGTTTTATTTATTAAAGTGAACTACAAAAGCAGCCTTAAATAGTCGAGTTAAATCCTTTGTTGAGAAATTGTGCTAAGGAAAGGAATTTGATAAATAGGCATAATTTGAGAGGCATAATTTGAGAGGCATAAATAGGCACAATTTGATTTCTGTAGTCGCAGCAACATAATTTTCATTCTGTCAGTTTTACTACTTATGGATTGTAAGCACAACCAGTTTAAACAGGCATGATGTTGTAAATTACTTTAACGAAGCTCACATCTTAAGGGGTAAATTGGTTTTTGGTTGTAAAAATTAGAGCATGTCCTTAGTAACAGCTATTTGGAAGCCAACGTGATTAACTGACTGTTAAAGTGGGATATGAAATGCTTGTATGCAATAGGTTACCTTTATGGAATTGCATTAAATTGTACATGCATGACTTTTTTTTTCTTTTTAGGTAAAGTATATATAATAGTAGTTGGCTTACATCCTAACAAATCATTTAACATGCTACTGGAATAGTTGATCTTGAGTTACAGTCAGTGCAGTTACAACCTCTCTATAAAATGTTGAATTTCCACCTTTGGTCTCTGTACCGGTGGAAAGAGGCTCGCATGGGAGATCAGAACCCCACTCTTGAGATCTTTCAGAATATAAACATTATATTCTTTGCTTCCTAACAAATTAAGATTCTAGTTATTATTGTAAACCGACAAACTTTATCAATATCTTATAAACTAGTTGTCAATTATTCTGATACATGATCATTTTGTTTGTCATTTTGTTTTTCATATTTGTAGGTCGTTTTTGAAATGGAGGACATATCCCCTGAGGTCAGTGCCTACTTAGAGGAGACCTTAGCAAGCCGGTACAAAGATTGGAAGAGCGCTCTTCACAAGCATTTTCAGCTATGGGAATCTCCGGAGATTGCTCGCCTACAGGGTTGCCCACTCGAGTATAAGGAACGGCGAGAGGATTGGGAGTGGCTCTGCACACATTTTACGGATCCAAAATTTTTGGTATGTACATAATACTTTAATAATACTTTATTGTTTTTGCTATTTTATTTAAGCTTTTTTTAATAATTTCTTTCAAATAGTCGCACTAACATATATATTGTATGTTTAACAGAAGAAATCTGCTGCTGGCAAGAAAGCTCGGGACTCAAAGACACTTCTCCACCATTCCGGTTCGAAGCCCTTTTCGTATAGGGTTGAGGCACGACGTGAGGTAAAAGTATATTAATTTTGAAATTTTATACAATTTATTTTTTATTATTGATTAATAAAATTTTCTTAATGTTTTTTTTTTCTTTAGGAGGGTTCTAAGTTCCCACAGATTGACCTGTTCAAGCATGTTTACGTTCATCCCAACAATGAGAACAGTGACCAGCTTTATGTAAGTATATGTAATTGTTATTTTTCTTATTTTTATGAATCGTTCAAATATTATTTATATTTTGTTATTAAACATTATATGTTTTTTCTTTATTATTACAGGGTGATATGGTGGAAAAGAGCACTGCTATTCTCCAAGAAGCAACATCGCAGCTTCCCCCGGAGACCCCGATTGAGGATGTCATTGTACCCAAGGATGCAGATGTTCAGATCGTGACTGAGGTCCTGGATCAGAAGTTCGGTCGTCGTCATGGTAAGGTTGTTTGGTGTACGGGGAAGGCGGGGGTTCGTGAAACGGGTGCCTCTTCTTCCAGATTGTCCACAGGAGAGGTCAATTCCTTGAAGGAGGAAGTGACAACCCTAAGAGGTCAGGTTGTGGCCCAGGGCGATCACATTAGGGCCCAGGGCGAGAGGATGAATATGATTGTTTAGGCCTTAGCGATGTCCGGCCTCCAAATCCCGATGATGCCAGTACCTAATGTTGCTCCACCTTCGACTTCCCAGCCATTTCGCCCAGACGATACCGAGTAGCATGATGTATTAAACTTAGAAGACTTGTAGTTTTTTATTTTTTTGTTCGGACAAACGTACATTTTTCATATATTCTATAATTAATTACTTTTTCTTGGTTTATTAATTATTGTTTAGCATTTAATTATAATATTTATTTAATTATAATATTCTATAATTTAATTATAATATTTATTAAAAATTAAATAAAAAAATATAAATGACACAAAAAAAAAAACTTTGCGCGACGCAGGAACTCTCTACGTCGCGCAAAGTAGCTTTGCGCGACGTAGGGAGTTCCTGCGTCGTGCAAACCCTTCCTTCACTGCCTTCGCGCGACGGTTCTTGCGCGACGAAGGTTCGTTTGGCTAATTTTTGGGCAACGTATTTTTGACTTTGCGCGACGACGGTCCTACGTCGTGCAAAGTCTTTTTTGTACTAGTGAGATAAAATACCGAGTGTGAAATGAGCTGTAAACTTGAACATCTAAATTTGAACGTTTACGATCCGTAAACAACAGATGAGGTTATGCATGCATGCATGCTGCTTGCAGATGAGTGCATGCAATCGCAGATAGTGCTGTGGAATGTTCCATGATACAGAAGTAGAGACATTTTTGAAATTTAAAATGTATGAGATTCTTTTTGTTTTTGATTTTTTGTATTTTTGGGTCGAAAACAATCACACATGTCCTATGGCATAATAATTGCGCACGTACAAATATTAGATTTGGAGCACAACAAACATGAGGAACGTCAATACGTCATTAATACGTTTGCTCATGGTAAGTGGCCTTGGATAGTTTCTCTACCAACGAATGGATCAGAATTAAAGCAAAATATAAAGATTTGTACATGTTATAACTTTAGTCTTTATCAAATTTTGAAAATTAAAACTTTTTCGACGAGTAATTCAAGTTCTCAGTTAATATATATATAACTGAATTTAAACTCTTCATAATTAATTTTAGTTTTCAGTTTTTTCTCTTACAATATTCTAGGTCACATGCATGACACTCTAGTTCTAAAATTTGACATTTATAATCTTCTGAATTAGACTGAACCGCTTCATTCTTATTGATTGCAAACCCGTTTGAGGCCCCAAATCCTTCATAACAATGCTACATATATACTGTGTATCACATTCACATACACTTTCATTATGACCTCAAATTCATAATTGGAACCCTAATAAAATTTCATATCTGAATAGTTACCGTTTTTTTGTTAAAATCAAAACTAAAAAGTAGAAACTTAAATTAAAATTTTAATATTGAAATAATTAGAATAGGAATCCTTGATGTATGATTGAGTCACAAATGTCCCATCTTCACCAGTTTCCTACCACAAATAAATGCACATTTTGAGCTCCAAAAAGAAAATGGCATTTCTGAAATTGTCTGCAAAACCAAGGGCGTTATAAGGACCAGACCCAGTTGCTAAGATAAGGTAGGATAATGGAACTACAATCATACTCCTAGGAGCCTGGTGTTTTGCCTTACTCACTCGGAAGCGCAGTAAATGATGGAGTTGGCTGTGCGACAAATATCATTTTCTTCCCTTCCTAAGAGTAAGATATCCCAAACTTTATTAATTTCAACTATCAAACCTTCAAATTTCTAAGCTTTATGTATGTATTTATTGTGCACCTGCATATCTTCCTGTTTTTATGCATGTGCTCATTGTGGATGCAAATTTTCGCCATCTTCTTTTTTGACGAAAATGCACCTGCAAAATAATAACACCTAAGATTAATGCCAAAAGCCTCACGAGCCCACGATGAATGGGAGGGGGGGCTTTTTGGCCGAAGAATCTTCGATGCCAAAGTTAGAATTTGAGAGAAAATGTGTTTGGGATTTTTTTGGAGAGAATACACTTAGCATTTTAGTAGGAAAAAAAGTCTATCTATAGGGGTGTGGCCGACCCTACTTGGAGAATAGGGTCCGGCCACTTTTAGTGGAATTAGGGATTTGATTGCAAGATATTATGTAATAATATCTTGCAATTAATCTAGGCAATCAATCCTAATTTAAATAGGATAATTGGGAGTTACCTTTTGAGGTGGGGATTTGATGAGGAGTGATGAGAGAAATTTGAATAAATACCATTTTGATCACCTTTGACTCTTCCTTGATTGAGCCGTTATTGTCCGTTGCATGCGCGTAGGAATCCCAGTGTGCCTTGATGGTAATTTTGTCATTTTTACCTAAAAGTTCACGTGTCGCCTCCATAATTTTCTTGATTATTTTTTGTTCCACAAGGTAGCGTTTGGTACGCAGACGGGACGGGACGGGACAGGGCGGGACGGGACGGAACAGATGTTCTGTGTTATGTTTGGTACGCGCAGGACGGAACATGACGGTTGTTCCGTCCTACGTTTGGTAGTGCATGGACGGAACGGAACCAAAAAATTAAAATGACTAAAATGCCCAAAACCCTTCTTACGGCAACACAAAACATCGCCACTGCTGCTTCTTCTTCTTTATCTTCCACTCTCTTCTCTCACCCTCCAAACCCAACACTCATCACCACCCCTTCTCTTCTCTCACCCACCACAACCCGCCATCTCCACCATCACCGCACCTGGTAAGCGAGTTCTCCAGCATCCTCAGCGACCACAGGAACCCTCACCACGACTTGGAGCTCTCCCTCAACGCTCTGTCTACCCAAATCTCCACATACTTGGTTGAGCAAGTTCTGAAACGCTGCAAAAATCTCGGGCTTTCTGCACACAAGTTCATTCTTTGGGCTAAAACAATTCTGGGTTTTCGACATAGTGCTGAAAGCTATCACATTTTGATTGACATTTTAGGAAGTAGCAAGCAATATGCTGTGTTGTGGGATTTCCTCATAGAAGTGAGAGAGTCCAAGTGTTGTGATATTGGCCCGGAAATTTTCTGGCTTATTTTTCAGGTTTATAGTAGAGCTAATTTGCCTCGCGATGCCATTCGAGCTTTAAATCGAATGGTTGAGTTTGGAATTTAAGCCCTGTTCATGATCTTGATCAGCTTCTTTACACATTATGTAAAATCATCGAAGCAGCTTAATTGCAACTCAAACTCAAGGGGCTTCACTCTCTTTGCCCGGTACTCTCAAGCTCAGGATCTTTACTCCTCCCGCCTTCAAGGTGCTTAATTTCTCTCTCCCGTTGGCTTTTGGATTTTGGGTTTGAAATGGGTTTATCTCAAGCTTAAATCTTTATTTGATTTGTGGGTTTTTTTAATTATTTATTTGTTACCCATATACGAACAAAATAATAGATTATACTTTTGCTAATGGTTATGTTCTGCTCACATTGATATTTTTAATCATGAAGATGTGAACTTCTTGGTGTTTCGCTTAATGGGTACCTCGAAAAATGTTCATTTTTTCACTTCTTGGGAGTAATTGGCTGTTGCCTTTTTCATGGATATACAGAAGTGAAACTTAGGTGTAAAAACTGTTGAAGCAGAAGTACAACTCTTCTGTTTGGCAGACAGTTATCAATTAATCGCATCACCTCTCAGAATGAGAAGGAAACTTTGATTCGCGCCTTTGTTTAGACCCGGGCATGGGCATCTGTGTTCTTTAAGCTTGAATTATTTTCTTTCTGGATCACTCTGTTCGTTTGAGGTTTAGTGAAGCTGGAATTTCATGTTGTTACCAGATAGGTTCGAAGACTTGCCTAAACTGGTGGAGGACATTCTCCAAACATTAGTAAGCACAGGTCCACGTGGCGCTCTTAGGATGGTCCAAGGTATTCAGGCGTTTATTGGGGTTGGTGGGGAGTGGCTTGCCGATGTATCAAAGGTAACATGAAATCCAATTGTACTCATTGCTTACTTATAGTTCTAATTGTCTGTCGGTTTTTTTTTTAATGTTTCAGTTGCTTATACAATATCTGCACATATGATTAAACGTTTATACCTTATATAATATATACTATGCTGAAAAAGACTTGCCTAATGTTTGTTCTTTAACAATTGTGCATAGTCCCAAGATGCAGTACCTACCATTTGCTTGAAAGTTTTAGAAGTTCTCTGTATTTGTCCAACCTTTCAAATGTTATTGAAGTATTTTTGCCTGCGTTTGACTTAAATTTACAGGAATCGTTGGCCGTATATCCCCGAAAACATGGGGTGCCATGGAAATCTTTCTGGCATCAATTGCAACTGAAGAATATGAATCAATGGCATTTGCGCTGATTGAAATGGGTGCTACAGACACAAATGTTGATACTAAGGCCTTTGCAAGAGACTTGGAAAAGATGTTCTCATCAATAAAGACAAGCATTAAATTCAGGAGTTTGCTAATTGTGTTTTACTTTCCAAAAAGGTTAATTTTTCGGTCTGTACTTGTTCTGAGACTATTTCAGAGCTAAGGGAAATTCATGTTTAGCAGAATGGTGCGGCCAAAAGATACCCTTTTTCCTTGCCCTTAAATATTGTGCTGTTTAAAAGAATTCAAACTGAAAGAGGTGTGTTGAATCGGAAGTGGCAATAGCCGGATTTAGAATATAGAACGGAAGTGGCTAAATTAGCTTATTGATAACAATCGCATTTGCTTCTTACAACTCCTCATGTGCAGGATTTGGATACTGAAGTAGTCATAGCAACTGCCAGGGAGCCATCTACGAATGCAACTGCTGTCTCTGTTAATCTAGTTGTTGATGAGACACAAATGAATGCATTTTTTCTCGATGTGGTACGCTGTTGACTCCCTTTAGGTTTACACGCCTGCATGATTTAGCTCTACTTCTGTAGCTTATGCCATCTTTTGACAAATTGTTCTGACGCCATGAACTGCTCGCATGTTCCTATTTCAGATTCGGGTTAGTGAATCATATGGATTGAAATTTCCATGAGAGTTTGCACTTCTCCTGAAGCAGCTTTTGTATTTTGATCGGTACACCCGTTTGTTGGCCCCGAACTTGAATATGCTCCAAGACCAAAGGATTTCCATCGCTTTTAATCGAAGAACCAACTACAGAAACAATTTCAGATGAACCTAAGAAGTGCAGATGCAGCTTCTTGTAGGTTGTGTAAATGTAAATAAAAAGTTCTCCAGCATTTGGAGTTACATTTAATAGGAATGATATCGAGAACAAGAAAAACATTGTACTCTATACTATACGAAGGCAAAGTGCATATCGTTTTATGTATCATATCAGATTCTTCTCCTATTTTATGTATGGTTTTATGTCTCAGTTTGTAAATACTTTATGTCTCAGTTTGTTTATTAATATAGGTATCTTTCTCTTGCATGTCTATTTGTATAGGCATGCTCAATGAAACTTTTGTTACTTGGTATGTAAATTATTGTTGCTGTTATGCTTTGGTGGTCAGTCTTACAACCTGCTGGCAGTTATGAATCTTCCATGATATTTTGCTACAGCTCCATCCGAATTTTTAGCACAAACCCATCAAATTTTATTATGCAAATTGCAAAACCCACACCCTAAATCAATTTTAGTCCCTAATTTTGGTCCTTTCAATTATGGGTTGTTGTTCTGGGAGTTCAAGTTCTGCAAACATTAGAATTGGCCTTGTTTCGAAGGACACCCCTCTAAATTTTCCCCATTGCATTGCATGGCAAACCACACAAGAGCACATGAGAAATGTTGAAAAATATATAAGTTTAATGATCATGCATATCGTAAACGTTTTAGGGTTTAAACATTCATAATTTAAACAAAGAAAATGAAATATGCAGAACTTAAACATGAAATATCCGAAATCAAACATTCGTCCCGACTTAAAAAACAAATAATGTCTTGCTAAAGCAAATAATGAAAACACTAGAAGTTGATAAAGTTCATCATACTAAAAACACAAATACTAAAACCCCTAATGCTCAAAGGCTCTCCATAAACACTTTAATGAAATCTGGCTTCTGTGAGTCATCCAAGGTAGTCCAAATACCCATCAGATCGGTATCTTTCACTAACTTCATTGAAATTCTTAGAACCTGATCATATGGGAGGCCCATGGCCTGAAGCTCAGAAGGTAGTCTAGCTTTCGCTTCTCTGAAAGTAAAACTTTCACCTAATTTCTTCATTTTGGTAACAGCTTTATTCCAACCTTCATTGATAACAGATACAATATTTGCATCACCATCATTTCTACTCCTCTTCCTTTTCCTAACAGGTTGAGATGCACTAGATGTAGAAACAGAAGGAGATGGCGTAGGTGAATGCGGAGGCATCTCGGAAGTCTCACAATCCTCATTTTCCAAACCCATATTTTCAATTGCATCTGCTGCTGATTCAGCCATACTACTCGTGGCTCGGTCTCTCCCAAACACCGTACATAACCGTGGATACAACGGGAATGGCTTATTTGGTTTGCAAGATGCATTGGGATGTTTCTACAATAAGAACCCAAAGAAATCAAGGTTAAGACTTTCGAAGCAACTAATTGATAAAGAATAAGAACCCAAATGCCCCACACCTGTTGGGTTGCTAGCAGGAAAGGGGCTGTGTAGAGATCTTCCCTTGCTTTAGGAAACATAAATTGTTTCCTATTTTGATGTAGATTCCCACATTAATTGGAAATTAGATCTTTCAAGGAAGGGGAAATAAATTACTTTTAAAGTCTATTTAAGTCTACCTTAAGTAGATGATTAAATCAACTTTAGAAAGCATTTTATTCTACCCTATAAGAGAGAGAAAGTTCGAGGATATTTGTTCCCCATCCCCTAGCAATCTTCTACTTGCCTGTGTAAAGCACTGTCTTTCGTTGCTTTCTTCGTCTTCATGCTGCACCAAGGTAAGAAAAAAAAAATTAATTCTCCTTATCTTCTTAATTTTTGGGAGCCTCGGGGCTTGAAATTTGGCTGGATGAGGGTCGAGAATATGTCAAAAAGTGGCTTGGAGAGGCCGTGACACTGTTGCCATGGGTGGCATGGCGCGGCGGCGACTCGGCTTGGACCAGGGCGCTGGGGCACTTGGGTTTGGGCCGTTGTGCCTGAGCTTATGTATGAAAGAGGAAGGGAGGCTCGGGCATCCTTCCTGGGCTGCCTTGCGGAAGGCTAGGCTCGGGCCTGTGCTGGCCTGATGGATTGGACCGAGGAGGTGCATGCCTTATTTTCTTTTTCTTTTTTTTTTTTTGATGTGCTTGGGCCCGTGTGTGAGAGAAAAGAGAGGGAGGCGCAGGGACGTGATAAGCTCATATTTATATATATTTTACATCAAATTCACTTCTCTTTTCTTAGTTAGTTCCTTATATTTTTGAGTTATTTACTTTGTTTTTGTGTTTTGTGGGATTTGTCAAGCAAAGAAAAGAAAAATAGCACAAGTGGGATTTTAAGTGACAAATTCGTCAAAACTGCCTGTGCAGATCAGCTGACTTTGGAAGCAAGTTGCGAACAGCTCAGAATGAATTAGAGAATCAGCCTTATATGCTTGGAAAGCTACGGATGTCTATTTTCTGGAGAATTTTGCGTATTGCTAATATCATTTTTCTAGAAGAAGTTATGGCTGTTGAAACACTAAAAGGTTACCAAGAGGCTGAGCAGTTTGTAACTGCAATGAAAGCAATAAACCCAATAAATCTAGCAACTAAAACTGATGCAGCCAAGAACAAGTCAGCTGACACCTATTCAAATATCAGAGGAAATGAAATTAAAAATGAGGATTAAGAGGGAGTAATTGGCATAAAGGCTACCTAAAGTGTTACAATTGTTTTACTACATTTCCTCTCACTTATTGTCATCACTAAATGGCTATTAGTGGGTGAGTTAAGGAGAAGAAAATGAAGCAGCAAGAATTGGTTTAAAAGCAGCATTGGGGAAGGAAGGAAGATAGGAGGAGGCCTCAATCGATTTCTTTCGGTTTTATCTTCTCAAACTCATGTCTTTCTTTTGGTTTTATTTAAGGATTGTGTGTAACTAAACTTTTAGTAGTTAGGGGATGTTTTGAAGCCCCGAATATGATTGCCAATTTGTTATGACATTTCATTTGAATTACTTTTATGAATGGATGAAAATTGGTTCACTACTTGTCTCATTGATGAATTCTTTATTTATTTTCTATGGATGCATACTTAGTAAGCATATCTAGGATTCTAATGCTATGAATATGTGTGTGCCTGCCCTTGTCGAATGAGGACCTACATATGTTCTATAGTAGTACTTGTTAATTGCGATTAACATATGAACCAATTTCTAGGATAAGTAAGACAACGCCAGTACTTACGATGCCTTGTGATGACTCAAACTCTTTTCGTTCTTAATGATTTCTACTTGTTAAATCTATGAACACACCATTCTAGATTGCATGCTAGGGACTAAGTTAAGTTGAAAACGCCATTCTCTTAATATACTACATAAGAAAGAGTGATGGGTTGAGTTCTAACATTGAGCCAACTTGAGCATCTTCATCCGGAAATAAAAGGAATTTGAATGAAACATAAAATGTTTGTATGATTATTTGGTGGTGGATAGCACTTCCCCTAACTCGTTTTTCTTATTTTGTGAACTACTTAAAATCTGTTTCTATCTTGTTTTTGTTCGATTTAATTTAAATAACAAATCAACTCCAAAAATCCCCAAAATTTGTGTGAGTGTAGCTCTGTGTGTATACTGTCCTCATATAAAATTTCGTAGACTTTAGATAAGTGTAAGTTGGTCTAAGAATTATTTTCGGTGGCTGGTCAGTAGGGACAGCAGCCCAGTTTTTGTGACATTTTAAGTAGTTAGATAAAACAATCTTCTGCGGGAAAGACCCTTATTTTCATATGCTACAATTGACAAATCTTAGTGTTAATAAGGAAAATCAATAGGACATTTGTGTGCTACTTTGTGGTGTGCTTTTAATCCTATCAGGGCGCCAGCCCCCCTTTATTTGGATTGGGCCGCAAGGCCATTAGGTTGAGGGGCCTGGTGCACCATTTTTTTTGTAGCCATCTAACGATTCTTTTTTGCGTATTTGTTGAATTTCCGCAAGCATGTCTTCTTCAAGCCGCAAGAATGATGATGGAGGCGGGTCTTTGAGTAATGTGGGCTACTTCAAGGCTGCTCACTTCAAATTAGCTCTGATGACTCGTTTAGAGACTTTCTTGAGGCATATAGGCTCGAAGAGCCATCAAGTTTCACCCCTACTACTTTGTGTTGGGATTTACTTTTCCCATGCTGTGTTTCTTCCAAGAAGTGCTTTGCTCCATGAAGTGTGCCCTTCCTCAATGTTCTCTAAATGCGGTCCGTGTGATGGTGGGGTTCCTCAATCTAAGCCAATTCTTCGACTTGGATTTGACTGTCAACGAATTTTGGTACTTTTTTGACATAGGCCACATTGAAGGAGTTGGGCAGCTGCGATCCCGTCATAGGCTCTTCGATCATTCGAGCAAGGGAGATCATGATTGGGCCAATGAGACTTTGGAGATAAGTGGAGAATGGGAGTTTGATTCTTCCCCTGAGCTGCATCTTCCGACAATTTTCATCACCGGTAAGTAGGCTGCTTAGTCTCTAGGCTACTTTGTACTTTTGCTGAGCTGCTATTTGATTTATTGATTGTCCTTCTCTGCATATGTAGATTCAGAATTCGGCTCAACTCCTAAGACTTCTCTAAATATGAAGAAGGTGCATGTCACTTTGGGTATCCCTACTGAGTACCGTGAATGTCGTTGACTGTTTAGTCATCTTCGCCGGGAGAAAGGTGGGCTGCCCCCAAGAAAGGAGATAAAGCGAATTAAAGCAGAGGCATTAGCTCGTTCAATCGCTGTCGTGGAGCTCGCTGTGAATGAAGGTGGGAAAAAAAGATCTTCCTCGCCTGCTCAAGAGATGTCAGTTGAGACAAACTGAAGACTTCCTCCGCTGCTCGTGAATGTTCGCTTGTTGCCCCTAGGCTTGTGATTGACATGACTTCTTCCAAAGGGAAGAAAGATGGGGCTGCTAGATCTGAGCCAATGATGTTTGCCATGCCAAAGATAGCTAGTTCGATTGCTGATAGGACTGCTCAGCCTAAAGCTTCCGTCGTGCCCTTAGTGTCGAAACCAGTGCTAAGATGTCTATTGGGAGCTAAATCTGGTTCACCTTTGGAGATGCTCACTACCATGAAAAGTGATAAGGTGGACTCTGCTGCTAAAGTGGCTTCAAGGCCCATTCTTATTGCTATTGAGATTAATCCGCCTGCTGAGAATGAGGAGACTGCTCGCGTGGGCAGTTGTGAGAAATCCACTAAGCCTATTTTTGGAAGGCTGCTGAGATCGGTGTGCTCTTGAAAACATATCTGCTTGAAGATATGGACACGTGTGCCAAGCTTGTTGA